TTTTTTTTTTTAGTAAATACACATACAAGTAGGATTTACTCACCTTGGCCTTGACCAGAGCAAGAAGAGCATAAGCTGTGGCCTCCAATGTGTAAACATGTCCCTTAGGTAGAGGCCAGTGGGACAAATCTAAGACACACACACACACACACACACACACACAAAGCCAAGCCTTAACTCTCATACATGTCTTTGAAATTGTGAGAACTGGTTAAAATCCATACAACAATAACATCAAAAACCTCAGTTTTTTTAATTATGCTAACTTACACTGATTTCCCGGGCACTTATATGTCATAAATCCTGCATCCTCTAAGTACAAATCAATTATATTTTTCTCAGAGGTCACTTCTATGACTTTTGGTATGATATTATCATGCTGATGTGTGCATAAGTGGTCATTTTTCTGGTTACTTTCTGTCTAATAAGTTATTTGATGATATACAAAGGGATGCATTTAGATGATTTGACAGCTTTGATTGGCGGTCTGATATGTCGCTCAACTACACGGTCACTACTGTGCAAAAACTTGCTGGAAAAATGCCAAAATGGCAGCCGCCATATTCACGATATTTTGGCTTCACTTTTGCACAGTGGAGGGAAGTGGTGATGCGTTGTCCATATTTATACAGTCAATGGTATAAACATGTTTTGGTCTCCACGATGTGGGTAATATCAGGGGCAAAGTAGTACACAATGTAAACACACATTAGATTTGGTTTGTGATTATATTTAGGAATATTAGGTGAGGAAACCTGGGGAGACAAACTTGTAGAGGATCTCCCGGTTCAGTTTGTTTTCATTGGCCAGGGCATATGATGTCATGGCAACAGCATATGGGTTGGTGAGGCTGGGCAGACGCTTCTCCAAGTAGGCCACTGCTCTGTCTATACTGCCTGGCAGACTCTGGAGAGAAGAAAACCACTTTGGATGGCAGAAAAAAATCCTGAGATAGATATTTAAAAATCTGAAGAGTTAAAATCCTAGATACTAGAAGCCAAGGCACATTGAAAGATAAGTGGAAAAATGTGTTGTGTGAACCAGGTCTTAAATATAGAAATGGAAAATTAAAGATTCATTTTAAAACTTTAGGAGTAGACTTTTAATGTACAGTTGGATGTAAAGGACAAAACTAGAGAACTGGAATTTAAGTACCTTCAGGGCATTTAAAGGAAACCTACAGTAGGTTTACATACTGTAGACAGTCATGATGTTGCAAACTGGTGTCAGCATGCAGCTTGCTGATTTGTAGCCAGCCACAAAAAATAAGAAGTAACAAGTATAAAAAAAGGAAGTGGCTCTGTATTATATACAGGTGAGGTACTCACATTAACAGTGT